TGTAAATGTGTATGGGAGATAAATGAAAACTTGGGAAACTTCCCATGGTGTCATTTCTCAAGTTCTGAATCTCCTAGTCAGTCCACCATCATAGTGCTTTTAAAGTCCTCTCATCATTGTTTGCTGAATAATTTCTGAGGTATAGAGTGGTATGAAAGGAAAGGAACAGGGAGAAGTGAGCCTGTATCATCTTATTCTGGAATCAGAAGTCCTCTCTGTAGTTTTAAATTGCATTTCTTTTATTATGAGTGAAGTTGAGAATCTTTTGATAAGTATTCAGACTATTTTAATTTTTAATGTATTTCATTTTGGTATTCTTTTATATTTGCCTATCTATACTGGGCTGCTGATCTTTGACATAATGATTTGTAAAAGCTGTTTTCATACTCGCTATTCCCCCTCCCCCAGTTTACTGTTTATATTTTGATTTTGACTTTTTTTTATGGTCTTTTTCTGGCATGCAGGCAATAACTGTCTTCTATAGTTTCTGAGTTTTATGTCATTCTTAGAAAGGCATTCTCATTTAAAATTTTTCTTTAGAAAAACATCCTCATATTTTCTTCTAGTACTTTTATGGTTTCATTTTTTGAAAATTATGTTTATTGAGGTAAAGTTGGTTTATATCATTGCATCTTTGGGGAGTACAGGTTCAAACTTTCACAAATGCATATCTTTATACCATGCCCACCACAAGTGCCCCAGTAATCCTCTACCATGCTCCACTGGGCTTCCTCCTTCCCCCACTCCCATCCCAATGGTTTCACTTTTTATTTGTAAATTTTTGGTCCAATTGGAATTCATTTTGGTGTAAAGCAGTTGTCCAAAGCATTTTTTGAATACTCCATCATTTTCTCTTTGCTTTGAAATGTTACCTTAAAAATTGTGGTACAAAACACATAAAAAATTAAGGAGGGATGGGGTCAAAATAAGGGGGTGCAATTGTATGGGGAATATAAAAATAAAAAAATAAATTTATCATCTTAGAGCATTTTTAAGTGTACAGTTCAGCAGTGTCGAGTACATTCACATTGTTGTGCAACAGATTTCCAGAACATTTTTATGTGGCAAAACTGAAACTCTATATTCATTGAACAACAAATCCCTATTGAAATGTTACCTTTTCATTTTAAGCTGATTTCCTGTCTTTGTTAATCCTTTTCTGGACCATTGTCCAACTTTCCAGCATCACCATCATTCCAATCTGCCATGCACACTGTTGCTTGATTCATTTTTCTCACGCATGCTTCTTTACTTGAAACTTTCAAAAGCCCTCCTTGATACTGCAAATTGAAATTAAAATCCCCTCATTAAACTCTTTAACACCTGTATCTTGTCTGTCTCTTCTCATGATTTATAAATTTAAAAATCTGTGTATTTGAGCATTATCTATCGCCATGCTTAATTTCAAGTTTTATGAGAGCAAAGACAATGTGCTTACCACATATTTCTAGTGCCCACTGTCTGCCTAGTACACTGTAGGAGCTCAGTTCATGTTTGTGGAATGATAGGTTCCCCCTCACCTGAGGAATAAAAGTAGAAACAGCTGTAAGATATGATTCCAAGTTTCCTTCTCCTATTCCTCCTTCCTTCAAGGAAGTCAAGCTACTAGACTTTCCACCTTTCCCTGAAAACAGTAGTCCCAAAGCATTTATTGAATATTCCATCATCACAGGTTTTCTGATGTGTGGTCTTGGTTTATACCATGCCCTGATTTTATCAGCTTGTACTCCAATTGCTCCCAGTGACTGAAGGTCAGGTTGATCTCCCATTTCCGTGCTAGCATTTTTGCCTTATGGAAATTCAACTCATCCTTCAAGATTATGGTGGTCTCTACCATAGGACTGTGAGTCCTTGAGAAGTTCTCTTTACTTTACCCCTAAGGAGCAGCACAGCTCTAGGTCTCTAGGAAGTACTCTGTGTTACACACCGCCATCTGCTCCCCAGCTACCAGCTCCTTGTGGGTAGGTAGTGTTCTTTACCTGTGTGAATCTGGGAACCTTGCCTCCTAAACCCTGGGGCTTTTCCCACAGAAGGTGACTTCTCAAATCTTCTGCTAACCTAATGAAGGTGTCTGGGTATATTGGGAGAGGCCCGGGCATGAAATGGGACAGGTGTGGAGGCTCCTCCGCCTTTCCTCCATTGTGCCATGTGAGGTTCCCTCTGCTACTCCTCCAACAATAAACAATTTACCACCTTGCACCCTCCCTTTCCTCACTTGAGCAAAGCGCTGGCTCTCCCTGGAGGACGCTCAGCCTTCCTCTCCCTTCAAGCCCTCTAGAGGAGGGGGCTCCCTGGTGGCCTAGGGGTTAAGTGTCAGCACTATCACCACTACAGCCTGAGTTCAGCCGGAGTTTGACTCCCAGCCAGAGAGCTAGCCCACACATGGGGCAGTAGATCTGTCCTGACTCTTCCTCTGCTCCCCTCAGCAGTGTATTTCAGTCAATCTGCCTGTTCTGCTCCCCACTCTCTCTGGCGAGCCCTCTCACCCCTTGCACCTCTGGCCTACACCCTAGTTCTTCTATGCAAAAAAAAAAAACAAAAACAAGCCCTCTAGAGAGAAGTCTGCTCAGTTGACCACAGTTCTGCCCCCCCTGGCAATAGGAGGCAGGGTTGCTATGCTGAAGTTCCCGTTCTCCCTCCTTGTCCAAAAGTAACCTTCTCTTGGGGTGCCCAGGCCATTCCCTGCCAGCACCTGCTTCCCAACCATACCTCTGTCACTTCCACTACTCCAATGCAAGCCCTTCCTCCCCCTCCCCCCGCCAGATCCCTAGAAGCTTAAGCATGTCTCCATCCCAAGGGACTGATGGCATCCTGGGGGATTCAGAGTTTAGAGTTCAGGGGTGGTAAACTGTGGACCAGGTGTCGAACCTAGCCTCTTTTGTTTGGCCAGAATCATGTTTTTATAAAGGTCCCAGGAGGAGACCTTTATGTTTTTATAAAGGTTTTTATAAAGGTTTTATAAAGGTTTCCAGGAGGAGAACCTGGAACCCTCCAGCTTTTAGGGTCTAGGCTCCTTCCACATCCTGCCATTCTACTTTAGACCTTATTTCTGAGCTTACACCCACACCCTGGCCTTGTCATCAGAGCTGTCCAGGCTCTGAAACCCACCTACCAGCCGCAGCTTCCTTCCTCCCCTTCACTTTCTGGCTTCCCCAGTCCTGTCTGTTTTTCTCCAAACACAGACCTCCAGACCTCCAAGCCTGGCTTTCCCCAAGCTTCTGCTCTCCCCGCTTTGGTTTTCCTACCCCTGCCTCATCAGCCCCCCTGGGAGCTCCATGTCTTCCTGTTCCCAGCCTTCACCTTTACTCAGATCATCCGAAAATCAAAGTTGGTTAATTCTTTACTTTCCTACAGGCTTCCAGAGATTTTCTACAAGCCACAGGACTGGTGGAACCAAGGAAGGATAAAGGCCCGCCTGCTACCTGGCCTTGAAGGCTTTTCATTCTTTGCCTATTGCAAACTTCCTGCATCATCTCCTGTCACGTCCCCCACTGGCCCTGTGACCCCGCAAGCTGAAATTCTGGTTTTCGCCACTGCACTCCCTTTCATGAACCTGCATCTGTGTAAGAGCTTATCCCCTCTCCCATTCTTCCTTGGTTGACTCTAGTCTTATTTTCAAAACCAATTGTCTCTCTGGATAGCCATAATATTTGTCAGGACACAGAGCAAGGCCAGCAAGGCCAAGCCCCAAACAGATAAACAGTTGCTGCCTCTGTGGAGGATGAGGGGTGGTCAGGATTGAGAGAGGTTCGTCAAAGGGGACTTTAGCCTCCTCTGTAAAGTTTCTGTTTTTCACAAGGGGGTCGTATTTATTACTGTGAAATAGAAAAACAAACAGTTTTTAGTTCAATACCAGGAAGTCTTTTGCAGACTTCCTAGGCAGATGGAGCTGTTTTCTGGAATCTAATAGCACCTCCTCACAGTGTAGAAAACATTGTTTCATTGTGATTTGTTGGTGCCTTTTTCTCTCTGGATGTGGAATCCCCTCAAAGGTAGACTTTATCTATTTCATGCCCCGTGTGCCTGGCCCAGAGCAGATACTCGGGGAGCTGAGTCTAACGAATTGTCTCTGCTAGTGGGTGCCTTGACAGCTCTTGCTATGGGCCAGGCTGGCTCCTAGTCTCAAATGCCAATTAGATTTTACATTACTCAAGGAAGAATGTCTCTATGAATCTGAAATGTGGGTAGAGAAGTCTCCAAATCTCTTAGCCCTTCGGTTGTGTCAACATGAGGATGGGGCTGGATTGGGGCCCTCCCAAGGCCAGGATCCAATTCAGCAGTTAATCTAAGGGCAAAGGATATATCCCCAAATGTTGAGCTGGTCAAACCCAGCTCTGATCTGTATCTCTGTGTCAAACAAACAGGCTATCTCTATACAGGGCAGGTCAGGGAGACAGGAGTTAAGGTCCACTCAGACCAGCTCAGTGTCCCTGGATTTGGAGGGAGGGATTGAGCAACTGTGTGAGGTTCTTGAAGAAGGCACCTAGAACCCCAGTTCAATGGCAGGACTTTGTAGCTCTTGCAATTTTCCAGAGAAATTTGAGCTGTCACCTCTTAGGCTCCTTCTCAGTGTTATTTGTTGCCTACAGGCAAAAGGGCAGAGGAAAGACCTTAATGGGTCACATAAATTGGGACTAGACACTGGGTGGGAGTATTTTTGGAGCTTCTGAAGTGTATGCCATTTGGCCAGGGGAATCCTGTATACTTGGATGTGCAAATGGCAAGGTGGCTGCTCAGTCTTTCTCCCAAGAGAACCCCTAGTTAGCCCCTGTATTCAGCCTCGAGGTGTTAAGGCAGCGAGTTGAGGTACTTGGGCTCTGGAATAGATAATGCGGTGGCAGTGGCAGTAGGGATCTGATGAGAAGTACCCTCCAGTCTTCCCATTCCTCCCTGCCCACCAAGCTTCTTCCCTGCTATCCATCCCCAGCCCCACCATCAGCCTCGAAATAGCTACACACCTTTAGACCTCAATGAAGAACACCTCTGGTGGCCCATCTCTCTGTAAGTAACTTTTATTTTTATTTACAACAGAACTGTGGCTTTATTCCTCCATCTTTAGGGACAGTTGGCATCAGCAGCCAGATGGAAAGTCTGCAGTGAAGTCAAACTCATTCTGCCCCAGCCACAGCTCCGGAAGCTCGTTGGCTCGGTCCAGTCCCAGTTCCACCACCAGCGACATCAGCACTTCTTCATCCACCGGGTCCGAATCAATGATGGCAGGGCTCTGGGCACCAGCAGGAGGAGAGAGCGACCCCGCCCCTCCCGCCTGAGCCCCAAAGCCCCAGTTTTGCAGGGGCCCTGCCTCCCCAGATTGGCCCTGAACAGCGGTGGCCATCCCGTGATACTGGCTATTAAGTTTCTGCAGCTGCATACTGGCCAGCAGGTGAGGGGCGGGGTGCAGGTTGAAGGGTGGGGGTTTGGTGGGAGGGGTGGCAGTAGGAGAGCCTATTGGAGATGGAGATCCTGAGGAACCAGTGGCAGCCCCACTGGCTTTGGTTCCATTTGAGGCTACCCCGGGGTAGTGCAGAATGGCCACTGCTTTGCGATCTTTCACTCCCAGGTTGGAGTAGGCCAGAGAGTTCATCTCTTGGTTGGCATCCTAGAAGAGACAGAAAGGCACAGCATAGTACCCCTGTTCCTGGCTGGTCCTTCATCGTTCAACAGGCTGAGAAAGTGCATACACGCTCTGTGTTTGGGACACGTAGTGGGGAGGTAGCCAGAGGCCCCCTGGACAGTTACACTCCCAGCTCTTGTGTCCTTTTACTACCATGGCTCTGAGCCGAGTGCCCACCACCCTGAGTAGGTTCACTGCTTTCCTTTTTTTCCCCTGACCCTCTCTCCACCTCGGCATTTAAAAGAGGGCATCCCATCGTCTCTCTTCTCAGCTTCAATGTAATCTTTTCAATGGTGAGGTCTTGATGTAGTTCTACTTCCCTGCTCCCTTGTCTGGTATTTCTCAACACCCCTAGTGGGTTCAATGTGACCAGGGAGAAACTACATATTCTCCCCAGAGAAAGCCCTGCTGGCTCCTCTCTGTTGAGGGACACTATCAACCACACTGAAGAGGGCCTACCAAGTGATCCCAGACGCATACATCTTGCCATGCCTCAGTGTCTCCATCTGTAAAACAGTAAAAGTTACCTCCTTTGCAGATGAGTTGCCACCCTTGACATCAAGTGCAGGCCTCGACATAGTTGGCATCTCAGAGCCTTGGCAGAAGTTGGATAAACCGGTGGGAAGTGATGCTGCCAGCGGGAGCTGTTGTGCTGTATGTGAAAGAGAAGAGGTAATAAGCATACAGGCTTCATTGACCAGGATAGCACTAGCAAAGCCCGAAGCAGGGCCACGTTGAACAGCTACAAGGCAAGGATGGTGAGGGTTAACACCCAGGCCCAGAGACCTGAGCAGAGTGAGGAGCTCACAAGGGAACTTTTGCCTGAGGCAGGAAAGGTGCTAGATTCAGCCAGCTGCTGCCCAGGCAACATACTACCTACATCACCAAGTGGGGCTTGCACGACTGTTTCCTCATGCAAGTGACTTCAGATCACTGAATGTATGTGTGTGCGTATGTGTGTAGGGGTGGAGAGGCACTGTCCTTGATTCTGAGAGCAGAAATGTCCCTGGGTAAGTAGCATCTTGTCTCAAAGGGCCACCAGATTCTGTGCTGGAGAGCTGGGGTCTCCATCCGGGCTGAGAAAAAAGTGGGAAGGAGTGAAGGCACATAAGACCCAGAAAGCTAGCTAGCAGCAGCGGCCCAGGGAAGAAATGAGTCCCTAAGGCAAATGTCATGGGGCTCCGCAAAGCCCTGCCTCAGCCAGGGCATGAGAAAAGTGGGCTGACCAGGGTGGCTGGGGGCTCCAAAGCAGCCAGAGAGCAGTGAGAAATGTCTCCATTTCCTCCAGGCCACAGGCACCATCCAAGATGGTCCCGGAAGCAGAGTTTTCCCAGGACACCTGCCCTGAACACAGCCCCACACCCATTTGCAGTGAGAGGCAAGAAGAAGGGAGCTAAGGAACAGCATCAGTGGCTTTCCGATCAGATGGCAGTGCTTCTGGGGGCAGGCTAGTGCTCTGCTGCCCACCTCCCTCACCTGCTCACTGGCCAAGTCACCGTGCCTGGAAAGAATCGAATGGCTCCCAAAGAAATGATTTCCTGGCTCAACTGTCAAAGGACAAAGGGATGAGAATGCTCCCAAACCAGAAAATACGAAAATCTGTGTAAACTCTCAAGTTATTTTCCTTGTTTTTGAAAAAGCCCCACATATTCTAACCTTCATGATGAATTATAGATAATTTCATATTTATAAATATCTTTCGATCCAAAGAATCTTCAGGTCCTTAAAAAAAGCCTCTAATCTTTCCAACAAGGGTCGAATTCTCTGATACCTCCTCCCCTCCCCCCATTGAGAATCTGCTCAGACACTTCTAGAAAGTGGCCATTTACTACCTGTCTTTATCATCTTTGCACAGCTTACTTGAAGGGGAGGGGGGCACAGGGAAGAGAAAGAAAGAGGGAGAAAGGAAAACATGAGAAAAATATCAGTTGCTAAGTCCGCTGCCACCGCTTGATTGAAGCTCTGTTACTTCTCTGAGGCGCCTCAAGAATATTTCAAGCCGGTGATCACAAGAAAAGGAAGTCTAATCCATGTCGTCTTTAAGAGCCCTAGCACCTTCAGTATCAAGCCATTTTCATGTCCAAAGAAAAATAAAATATCGGGGGGCGGGGAGTGTTGGGGGGGTCTGCCATCTTCTCCCGTTCCTATCCAGCCTTCCTTCTTTTATGCCGCCCGGTACTGGAACATAACAGAGAAAAAAACAACAGCGGCAACGACTATAACAAAAAGACCCAAAAGAGGTGTGTGGGGGGGGAATAGAAAAAAAGGAGAGAAAGAGAAAAAAAGTATCCCGGTTTTGATATCGGTTCGTGGGAAGATAATTTTGCCATGTCTCCCCCTTCAGGCTGGGAGCTCCCCTAGGCGGGACCCTGTTTCTATTCATTTCTGTCGCCTCCCATCACCGTGCCCACTACCCACCCAGACCCCCAGCTTTGGAGCTGAGCTCCGGAGGCGCTCAGTAAGTGTTGTTGAATCCGTCTGAAGAGGCAATCGCATTTCGATCACACCTCTGCCCCTGCTTCCCGGATTTTCTGTTCCTACTTCGCCTTCAGCCCATTCGAAGGCAAAACTTGGCAAGGCGGAAACATCCCAGCCCGCCCTCCAAGTAAGAGCAGACCACGGCGAGAGGGCTGCGAGAGCCGGCAGGCAACCCAGAGCAACAAGTGCCTCCACGCCCGCGGCGCCTCGCGGCCCCGGCCACCAGCTCCCGGGCCAGCCTCCCGCCCTCCGCTCCCTTGGGCCGATAGCCCCTCCCGCCTAGATGGGGGTGGGGAGGGGAGAGGAAAAAAGAGAGAAGGGAGAGGCAGGTTGGGGGTCCGCGTCTTTGACCTGTTGGGGGACCAAAAGTTAAAATGGCACCAACCGGATGGCTCCATCTCGATTGTTATTTTGTCACTCAGAAGGAGAAATTTAAAAATCCAAACAGTACTGCAGCTTGGCTTGGACGCGCTCTAACCAGACCAGTCAGTTTCGCCACCTGAAAACTAAAGGCCCGTTGTTTGCGGACAGCTCGGCTGCCCTCCTCGCCGCATCCCAGGTGGAGCCGCAGGAGCTGGGGAGGCCGGGAGCATCGCTGCACAGAGGGCGCGAGCACCCGGGCCACCAGGGCCGTGAGCGTCCGTCCCCGCAAGGGCTGTATCAGGAACCGATTAGAGGGACGCGAGGGCCAGGCGGGGAGGAAGGGGGTCTCGGCCTCGGTGGCTAGTTTAGGGCCCCGTGGCGTTTCTGCGCGCGGGGGCGCACTCCGGCGCCAGCGGCGGCCACTCCCGCGCGTCACCAACACTTACTGAGCGCCCGTGGAACACCCGACGCGGCCGCGGACTGAGCACCCCCCTAGTCAAGCTGCCCGTGGTCAGTGCTATCCCCCTGCTAGGAGAGGAGTGAGAGAGGCTCCGAGAGGTTCTGTAACTTGCCCAAGGTCACAGCGCTAGAAAGTGGCGGAACGGGATTCGCAGTCAGAGCTGTCTGACTCCAAGTCCGGCGCTCCTCGAGGCAGGGACTCCGTGCGCCGAGCGGCCTCGCCGCCCTCGTTTATAGGTAGAGGGGTGTGTGCGTGGGTGTGCGTGCGGGGGGCGTGCGTGTGGGGGCGGGGAGGGAGAGCAGAGGTCGCCCGGGTAGTAGAGGCAACTTGCCCAAATTCGCTAACTTCCAAGCCCGCAATTCTGCTGAACTCGGCCCGAAAAGTCCCTTTTGCCCCCAGCCTCCGAAGGAAACCTGAGCTTTGTGCAGCCCCGGAGCCGGAGCGTCCAGATGCGGTCCGGGCGAACACCAAAGTCGGTGGAAGCCAAGCTGGATAAAGCGCGGGCGCAGGGAGAAAAGGTGCTGCCGTCTCCCCGGGAGAAGCGGGCGTCCGGCCCGATTGGCCGGCCGGCGGGCGCTCACGGGAGCGAAATGGTTCGCTGGAGTGCGGGTGGCGGCCCCTCTGCCTCCAGCGGGGCAGCTTTCAAACAGAAAACAAGTCCCCCCCAGACCCCCCACCCCGGCCCGCCCGGCCGCCGCCCGCTCCCCGAATCCGCTCCTCTGGAGTCCCGGGCCCCGCCGCCCAGCCCAGAGCCCAGACCGGGGCCCGGCTTACCTCCGCGAAGCCGCCCGCCCTGGAGAGAGGGAAGTGCGGAGCCCGGTGAGCCGCGGGCGAAGTGGCGGAGCCCCCAGCCCCTGGCACGCACGCCGCCACCACCGCCGCAAGCCGGTAGCGCTCAGTGCCACCCGACCCCGGGGCGCCTGGGAAAAGCCCGCACCGCCGCGCCGCGCCGCGCCGCGCCGCGCCGCGGCACCGCACCTTGCCGCGCCAAGCAGCCCCGGCCCGCGCCCGTACTCGCCCGCCCGCCCGCAGCTTCGGCGCCTGACTCCGGGGCGGTGGCGGTGGCGGTGGCGGCCACCGCGCTTCCCGGCGCGGGGAACCCGGCTCTAAAGCCCCTATCGCAGCCCGGAGAGCCCTGACGCACACGCACACGACAGCAGGCTGGCCTCAGCTAGGAATCCCAGGAAGGATAGACCCCCTTTCCCCCCTTTTTTTCTCTCCCCCCCAATTTCCACGTCTTTATAACCAGCTTAGGGCATTATTAGCACATGTCCTGGCTCGTGGGCGAGTTGGTGGCAAAATCTGAACTGGATACTCACCGAGGGACAGAGCCGGTGCTGTGCCTTCCTCGGCCCTCTTCCTCCTCTCGGCGAACCACCCTTCGCCTGCGGGCTGCGGGTGGGCAGCCGGGCACAGCGAGCCTCCTCTCAGTCGTTCAGCAGTGCCTCTTCTTCTGCAGCTGTGCCTCCGGGAACATTTTATAGCGGTGGCTTGAGTGTGTGGCCCTTTAAAGGCGCTCGAGCTGGTGCAGTCACCGCGGATCGTGTGAAAGCGAAGGGCCGGCTGGGGAACGGAGTCCGAGCGGCCTCGCGGGTCCTGCAGCGCCGGGCACGGGTCGCGGTTCCCTGGGAGGAGCTGAAGGGCCCAGTCCGTGGGCTCCCTGAGCCTTGAGCCTCGGCACAAGCCTATGCTTCTAAAGTTGGTGGGGGCTCCGGATCGGGACGTTGTCTTTCCCCACCGCCCTGCATGGATTTGCCCAATAAATTCCACTTAGTAATTTCGCCGAGGCGAGGGAGAGCTGTTAGTTGTCTGTGTTCTGACTTCCATCTAGCGGGTGGCTAGAGGGGGATCGCTGGCTTGGGGGGCAGAGTTATGGGCTCAGCGAATGACTTGGAGGAGGGGGAGGCACAAGGGAAGGGAAGGGGTCCACGGGGTGTGCTTTGGTTTTTTTTTTTTTTTTTTTTTTTTGCAGGGTTTTCTCAGAGCTTGTCTGCCCACGTTGGGCTGCACCATCTATTTCGGTTGCTGAAGGGCCGAGGAGGGGGTTCCTTGTCTTCTCAAAGTCGCCAGATTCTGGGTAGAGCCCCGTGGAGGGCCTACCCGGCAGCGGGGGCTTCCCTAGAAGGCCCGAGTTGGGATTACGGTCGAAGGATTCTCTCTTACGGACATTCAGGGTGGACAGAGGGTGGCAGGGCACGACATGGACAACTGCTCGCCGGGCCCCCGGGGCCAGATGCAGTTCACCAAGAGCGACGCCGAAAAGTCAAGAACAGGCGAAGGGTGCGAAGAGCATGCCCGGGGCTCCCGGGAATTCCTTCCTGCCTTTCCACGATTCCAGGTTATTTTATTATGATTATATAATCATTCCCATCAAGCAAGAATAACACTTTGCATTTGGAACACATCCTTCTCCGGTTGGGATGTTATCTTACAAATCTTTACGGGAAAGAGGTCCAGGTTTTCTCCATCTCTATTCATGTTCCATATGACCAACTGGCCCCTGCTTCACCTCTTACAGGAAGTCCACCAGGATGACCCTTCTACCAAACTCCCTTTTAGGCCTTCCTTCAGTGTTAAGTACTCAGTTTACACTTTATGAAACATGTTTTTTTGTTTTTTTGTTTTTTTTTTTTTAACAAGAAATAAGTACTGATGTTAAGGAAATGTGTGTATGTTGTGGGGGGTGTAATGAAGTCATTTTCACGAGCATGTGTTCTGTCTTCTTAATTGGTTTTGAAGACCTAAAGGTCTCTCGTTTTTCTTTTTCTTTCTTCTTTTTTTAGTATCCCCCAAGTGCCCTGCATTTGCTCTTCGAACAAAGTTCTGTTTGTTGTGGGACTGACCGGCTTACTGACCTAAAGATGGGGAACAAACAGAGGGACGGATCAAGGTCCTTCCTTGGCATCTGGAGAAAGCCAGGGTGAGTGTTCTGGACGCTAGGTAAACCTGCTGCTTGCCCCCAAAAGCTGCCTTGCGCTCCTGCAGGCCCACCCCTGCCCCTGCCCCTTTGCAAACCCCAGAAACCTGCACATCCCCCTACACCACCGGTGCACTTTCTCACTTGACTCAAAGAATGTGGGTCGCCCCCGTTTCTCTCTGATAAAAAGCGGAATCCCTGGGACCCCAAAGTCCTACAGGATTTGCCGGTGAAATACCCCCCCTAAGTCCTCTTGGTGTTTACTTGAGGTGAACGATCCTAGTCTTTTGAATTGTTTGTTGCTAATTTGGACCTCGGACCTACCCTCCCTCTCATTCTCCGAAGCCTTTTGCGAGCCTCTTTGAAACTGTGGCAGCGTCTCCGCTGCAGGCTCCGGATCCGGGAGGAGCTTGATCCGCCCTCCATCTATTGGATGGCTCCCAGGCCAATTGTTAGAAAGAGGCATATGTTCATCTCGGCTTCTGGAGTGTCTCCGGAGCAGTTGCTCAACAGCCAGCCCCCTCCCCCATCCGGACCATTGAAGGGCAGAAAAAGGAGCGCCCTCCGCCACATTTCTCTGAGCCCACAGGCCAGAAAGGGTCTCCCCACGGGTGACTTCCTGTCATTTCCTCTGCCCACCTCCTGGGGGCCAGGATAGAGAGGGGCTTCAAGCACTCCATTTGGGGGCACAAAGGACACCCCTTTCATTTTGGGGGAGACGGGAGAGGCTAGTTACAGAAGCTGGGAGAGAGCAAAGGAGACATTTTCATTTCTTTGCTAATGTGTCCTAGATCACCGACTTCCCAGTCGGCTCCTGCCGAGCTTGGAGCTCTCCACTGAACTCTTTATCTCTAACTTGGCAACTAGATCGCGAGCTCGCAAAGCCAGGGATGGTCATCCAGTTAGAACCTTCTGTGCTGCAGTATTGGGCCTGATGTGTTCCCATACATCATCTTATTTAATCCCCATGACAGCCTGTGAGGTAGGCTTTACCAAAGGTGAAAGAACGCCAGGAGATTTCCCCAACTTCACCCAGCCAAGAGGCCAGGTTTTTGAATCCTGGTCTGGCAGACTACAGAGTCTTGCCCCGCCTCCTTACCCTCCTCCCGCCCCTCCACACACCTCATGGCCTAGTGAGGGTAAAGAGGCCCAGCAGACTGGTGGTCAAGAATCCAGGTTCAGGGGTCAGTCTGCCTGGGTTTAAATGGCCTCCTCTGCCATTTCCTAGCTATGTGAGCTTAGGCTAAGTGATTTCCACTTTTTGGGCTTCAACGTTCCCATCTGTAAAATGGGCTAAGAATGGTTCCAACTCTATGAGGTTGTTGCAAGGATGCAAGAAAAGGCTTAGCTTGGATGCTGCCTGCTGTGTAGTGAGTGGTCAATAAATACTGTTACTATGTCTTCTGATTTTTTTATCCTCCCCACTTTCTCAGCTCACACACTTCAGTTTCAATAACACTTGCTAACTGATTCATTTAAAAACCATGCTGGGAGGGGATGAAGGAGGTCTTTATAAAATCAGTATGGGACGGGGAAGGAAAATGGAGATTTTTTTTTTCTCAAAATCCCACCTTTCAGAAGCAAGGATTGTCTGAGCCATAGGACAAGAGTAAATTAGGGACCAATGAAAGATGACCACTTTTTACAGAACAGCCTGTAAAGTTAGTGTTCTCCAGAAACACATATTCAATATGTGTGTAGAAAAGTTAAAAAGCACATGTCTTTGTTCAATAATGTTTGGCGCAGAATTGTTTGTAATAGTGAAAAATGGAAAGCAGTCTAAAAAGGTCCATGGTGATGGCACTGGAAGGGATCATGCTCAGCGAAATAAGCCAAAAAGAAAAAGAAAAATACCGGATGGTCTCACTCATAGCAGGAATCTAGAAAACTTAAATAAGGGACCAGGAAAATGAATATAAGAAAGTGAAAATCAAAATCAACAAAAAAACTATGAACCAGAGACACTTTTTGGGGGGGTGGGGGGCGGGAGGGGAAGGATTGGGGTCAGAATGGGGCGTTTGCAATTGTATGGGGGAATATAAAAATAAAATTTAATATTTAAAAAAAAAAAAATAAATAAAAAGGTCCATGGTAAGGGAGTGTCTTTTACACTCCTACCTAGATGCCAAGATAAAAACATACTGATTTCAGAAACTCTTATGCATGAGAAAATATTCACAACAAAATATTAAATAAAAATTGCCGGGTACAAAGTTGCATAAATATGATGGCAAGTTGCAAAGGGCACAAAGAGTAGAAAATTAAATACTGTTTCCAACCATGTATGAATTTGGGTAATGAAGCAATGGTCTGTAAAACACAAAACCAATAACAGTTTTAGTAGGGTGGTAGAATTATGAGTGATTTTTCTCTCTTTTCTCCATGTTATGCAATACGATTATATTATTCTTATAAGCAACTTAAGTTTATAGTTAATAAATTGCATAAACAGTATGCCCCGACTTTTGTTAAAATTATAAATGCATAGAAAAGATATTGAGAGTAAATATACCAAAATGTTAATGGTCATTCAAACTGAGTAGTGGGATTATGGGCGATATTTTTCTGCCATGTGATTATGTTGTTTTCTTATGCTTAAAACAGATTTATCTTTGGAAAAGTGCATAATCAGTGTGCTCCCGTTGGTATTGAAAGTATGTATGTAAATTGCAAAAAATGGGAAGGACATATATTAAAATATTAACAGTGGTAAAGGATTGTGGATAATTTTCACTCTTCTTGATTTTTCTGTAATATGACTCTTATTACTTTTATAATTCAAATAAAATGATACGGACAAATAGGGTGTATTGGTAGGATCCTACTTTTGTTGAAAATGTGTATGTAAGTAGAATAAAGAAATGTGGTGGTCTCTGGGTGGTGGGATTATGGGTGATTTTTGTTTTCTCCTGTATACATGATTCTTTCACGAACAGTAGTAATCTAGTAATCATACATTCTTTTTAAATTATGAAAAAAATATAAAAAGTTCAATACTGAAATATTGATGGGAAAAGGGGGGTATAGTTGGGATTTGCTTTAAAATATTCCAGTGGGGGTAGGGATACAGATTTAATAAGATAATTGTTGAAACTGGGCACATAGACTTTCATCATGTTTACTTGTGTATGTTTGAAAAATTCCACAATAGATATTGCTTAAAAAGCATTTTCACATACTTTCTGTCTTTTAATCCTATGTCAGCCTTGTGGGGTTGATATTTTTTCCCATTTTATAGGAATCTGAGATTCAAAGAGGTAAGTCACTTCCCTGGGTCACATAACTGGGAAGTGAGCCTGTAGACTTGACCCCAGGGCTTCTCACCACATTCCAGTTACTTTTTAATAATTAAAAAAAATAACACTTTGTCTGGTGATAAATGACACAATTGTTCACTGCACAGAATTTGGGAGTAACCAAAAAGCAACATCATCAACCCAACCAGGTCAGAGTTAACCCTTTGGTGCCTGGCCATCCAGACTTTATCTGAGCTGTCTCTTGCTACAGAGGTATGGGCGCCCTGCGAATTCTTCCTGGGTGAGATTGGTGAGCTATTCCTAAGTGAAGCTGCCGCTGTCTGGGGGCCTCTTCTTGTGTGGGAGGGAGCCCAGGAGGATGGTGGGTGCTAGCCACCCTCTCCCATTCTTCCCTGGTACCCCCT